TTTATGGGGAGGGTTTGAGGGTATGGTGGGGGGTGCAGGGAGCCTCCCAGGCACACCCCCTGAGCAGCTCAGCACCCACCCTGCCCCAACATCCTGGAGCCTGTGTACCCTGCAGTGCCTCCCCACCACCACCAACAGCATGCAACCCCAGCCTGCCCTGTGCCTACTTCATACTGCTTGGGCATGACACGTCCTGCCACCCCCTGGGCCACTGGGGCTGGAGCGGCTCCTTCAGACTGCTGCTGCTGCCACTAGCCCCAGCCCTCCAGTACCGATAGGGACCTGCGCATATGGCCATGACCCAGCATGGTCCACGTCTGCTCTGGACTCATCCATGCAGGCTCAGCAGCAACAACAGAGGCAGCTACCGGGCAGAAACTTGCTTGGCGCAGGGGAAAAGTGGCCCCTCACCCTCACTGTTGCCAGATAGTTCTTGGTGCAGCTGCCCAGAGTCGGTGCTGCGCTGAGCTGCCTTACAGCTCCGCCGCCATCACCAACCACCTCTGGGCTGCCCAGCGTGGCAGTGGTAACAGTCCAGCATAGCTGCAGGGCAGCCTGGTGTGGCACAGGCTCCAGGTGGCTGCACCAAGAACTGCCCGGCAACAGCAAGGGGGAGAGGCTGCTTTTCCCCCATGCCGAGCAACAGTTTCTGTCCAGTAGCTGCTTCTGCTGCCGCTGTTGAGCCTGGATGGGTGAGTCCAGAGTAGGTGTTGAGCACACTGGGTTGGGGCTGTGCATGTGGGTCCCCACCAGTACCACTGGGCTGGGGCGAGCAGCAGCCAGAAGGAGTTACTGCTGCCTAGAAAGGCAGTCCATCTGCGGAGCCACCCTAGCACCAGTGTGTGCCCAGGAGGCAGCAGGATATGCCATGGCTGGGTGACACCTGAACCAGGCAGGACCAAGGACCCACCACAGGCTGGACAAAGCCCTTCTGTGGGCTGGATCTGGCCTGCGGGCTGTATTTTGCCCACCCCTCTATTAATGTGTGGCCAGGTAACAACTTAAGACTTGTTTAACAGGTTAATCATGTCTTGAGTGTAATGTGTACCAGGGACCTAAATGTGGTAGCTCTGCCAGAAAAATACTCTGTAACATAGACAAGGCTTCATCTCACTTGTTCGTTAAATAAAAGCCTGTGGCTCTTCTGGTTGAGGAGAAAACCTTTATAAAGTGAAAGTAATAGAATCTGTAACAAGTGAAACAATATAGGAATACCTGCATGCATCTACAAAAAATGGAAACCATAGCTCTGATAGGTATGAACTGCCTTGTTTTTCCAAATGGTATTAATTCAAATGCCCAGTTGTTATTGTGCGGGTCGCCTCCCGATCTCGTCCATGTCGCCATGTGCAAGCCGGGAGCGATATGCGGACCCGTTTTTGCGCACGCGGGCTGTGGCCAGCAGCCCGGGCACGCAGGGTCGAAGAAGACCGGTGGCGAGCTAGAATTAGTTACGGACGCGTAATGGTTGATTAAAAGATTGTTTACTTACACCAAAGATGGTCATGGTGTAGGCTGGACAGTTTTCCAGGCTCAGCTCCGCTTAAGTCCTCGCTAGAGGACTCCGACAATTGACCCCGGAGTGGTTGAAGCTCCGCGGGTTCGGCTTGGTAATTGGCCCCGGAGTGGTTGAAGCTCTGCGGGTTCCGTAGTTTCAAAGGAAAGGGATACGTCTTAGGATTGTGCTCAGCGACGGGGAGAGGCTAGAGGCCGTTTGGCCCCCGGAGTGGTTGAAGCTCCGTGGGTTCAGTAAATAGGCCCCCGGAGTTGTTAAGACTCCGTGGGTTCGGTAAGTCGGCCCTCTATTGTCCTCTTAAGGAGAAAAAGAAGCTGGGTTCGAAGGGATTAGCAGTGCTTAGAAATCTTCATGCTCTTTCTCCCAAACTCCAGTTGCTTTCTCTCTCTCTCTCTCTCCAACTTGGGCGGAAACCTCCCAAGCTCTTTATACGGCTAGCAAGCCAATCGCTAGCCGCCACGTGTGCATAATTTAGGATCGGCCAATAATGTGGCACAAATCTAAATACAAATGGCGGGAACTCCTTTGCACCGTGCATCACTATGATGCAAAAGAAATGTACCATGCAAAGAAGGCTACAAACTGGTGGGAAATACTGTTTTGCACGCGGGTTCTCTATTGCAGCAGAAAACTCTACCGTGCAAAGGAGCTGCAATTTGGCGGGGACATAATTTAGCGGTGCCGAAGCACACAAAAACAAAAAACCACAACTTTGGGTTGTGACAGTTATGATTTAAATATTTACCTTACTAAATATTTCTTTGATGATTAGAGTATATAAAAACGTGGAATGACTTGTGTTTGAAACAGAGATTGCCAAATAGGGTGGAGGCAGGGATGGAAAATATTACAGTGGAAGAGCATGTTACTTTCTTAAAACATCACTTGGCTTCAGTCTTGCTGCTGTTTGCATCAGGGACAAAGCTCCCATTAACTTCAAGTGAGAACTGGATAGGATTTTTATGTACCAAAACAAAAAAGCATCAAAATCTAGTTGCCTTGGTAGCATTAGCACTTTTTCCCTGGTCTTCCCTGCAAAGTAGTATGACTCTTGTTTTATATCAGATGTTAAACAATAAAAATGAAAAAAAAAACATGGATGCAACAACAGAATGGATTTTATGGATTAGATGTGAAAGTGACAGCAGCTATAACTTAGTTTTGATTATAGGTTCCATTCATGGGGAACACAACAGGACATTTTAATTCCCATATTAAATCCCGTTGCTGAGTGGAGCCAGAAAAACAAAAAAAGTCTGTTTAACATGTCATGATGCACCATTTTTTTAAGTCATTTTAAGATTTTGAGATTGTGTTTTTTTAATTTGACAGTTTATACAGCCTTTTACTAAATCTAAAGGGTCATTCATTAAATGTCGTTACCCGTTTATAGCTTACCCTTATGACTAAATACAGTCATATAAAATAACACAGTTGACCTCAATACCAGACAAAACCAGGGGAGTCATGTATATTCTGCATTACCCTTAAAATACAGATCTGGTATTCTGTCCTAATAGGTGCCAATTCACAAAGGCATGTGCTGAAGTTCTTTTGATATCAATGGATCTTTAATATGAACTTAAGCATTAAAGTGCTTTTCTGAGTAAGGGTCCTAACATTCTTTGATATACATTTTAACAAAGGTAAATATTACTTTTTGAAACACAAGAGATGAAACAATTTACCCCCTACGTGTATAGCTGCACCTTACACACCTAAATCAAAGGTATCCACATACAACATCCATTGTACGTAATTCATTTTTTCAGTTTTACCTTTTTTTTTTTTTTTTTTTAGTTTCTGTCACTTCTTAATGTTTGTCCTTATTGGCTTTAAGCTGTCATTGTAATAAGCAAATAAGCATTTCATTTTATCCTAGAATTAAAGATATATACAGCTTTGAAAGAGAAGGGCAACAGGTTATGGTTACTGCATCCAGTGATGGATACATTAAAATGTGGAGTCTCAATCTCAATAAGGTAAGCATATTAACAACTTGTGCAAAAACTCTGGATAATTAAATTCCAGAATTTTAGATTTTAGAGTGCTTATATAGGTTAATGCTAAAGAACATCAGAAATGTATTTGTAATCTTGACACGGATAATTTTTGTACTGTGTTCAGCAGCACTCTTTTATACATATGGATCTTTCGGCTAATTGTTTCTTTGTTGCAGTGATTCTCAACTAAAATGCCATGGTACTCTGGGATGCCTTGAGATCCTTTCAAGGGTGCCACACAATGCTACATACCCGTTATGTTTGCAAGCATGATTCACAAGATAAGCCCATAGATTTCAAATAGAAATTCATAGTTGTGGTCTTTCTGAGTTCTTTGCAACAGAAAATATCTGTATTATTTTCTGTAGTCAAAAAAAAAGTGAAAACGAAGAGCCGTCGTTTTCTGAGGGTGCTGTGAGTCCATCCAGGGTTGCCTTGAGTCTAGACAGGTTGAGAATTACTGCTTATTGTAACTTCTTAAATTTTTGGTAATGACAAAACATCTGGTAAAATTATCTAGATCAGTGGTTTTCAACTGGGTCTGCAGGCTACATCTAAGGAGCCTGCGAAAGATTACTATGATCAATCAAAAGTATGTGAATACCCACACTTACAGGCTCCACAACTCCATTTTACATTTTTAGGGGTCTGCAAATGGGAAAAGGTTGAAAACCATGGATTTAGATCTCACTCCCCATCTTCTGGGTTTTGCTGTCTGATTATTAACTGACAAAGCTCACAGCTTTCTTGTCAGTTTTATGTCTGCCTGCACAACACTTTCCTTTTTGCCAATAAAAGTATTAATGTATTTACACTCAAAAATAAGGGTCCTAACATTCTTCTATATACATTTTAGCAAAGGTAAATATTATTTATCTGGTGACGGAACCCATTCTCTCTGCTGGCAGTATAATGGTGCATCTCCAGGCACTAGGGGCTTCTGCTGCCATTTGGAAAACATCAGAAGGTATGCACAGGCAAGCCCGCACCAGCTTATTGCTGTGGTCCCTTCAGCAGCTGATGCCTTCTGAGGATATACTTTGCCCTGGCTGGCACTGCCACTGAGAGGACCCGGCAAACACCAAGCAGACATGAATGCTCGGATGGCAGACAGCAGCCATCATAGAATTTCTAGTGATGAAAAATAGCACAATATAGACAAGGCTTTATATGCATTAGTGATTGCTATCAATGTCAGCAATGCTGGTGACTAAACATCACCCAAAACATAAACAATATATATTTTTTTTTACTTCGTGCGAGGAAAAATATTGGTTTGATTTGAAAAATTCAAACATGGTGAAGCACTGAGCCTTTCCATATCATCCTGAACACTTTTCTAGCATTTTCAAATTTTTATTATTGACATAGCAAGCAAATTCTCTCTGCTTGCGAATGTCTTGCATTTTTCCATGATGTATAAGGTGAACAGTTTTAGCAGGGTTAGTTTGTCAAAGCTAATGACTTTTCAATAAAGATGAAGAATTGTAGCCAGTGATTCACATAGTTAATTCTAAATGTGGCTTGAGTTGTTACTGTTCCCTGTTCATCCTCAGGACATATTGGCCATGTATACATATGTGCTTTACTGCCAAGTAAATTAATTAGCTGTGGAGTAAAGCATCACCATCTACACATGAGATTGTAGTAGGCTGCAGTAAGCTAATTTATGCCACAATAAAATAGTACTCTCTAGGACAGTACTATCTTATGCTGGGGTAATTTACTGTGATTAAATGCACATATAGGCACTGACCAACAGCATAAATTGCACCCAGTCAGCCCAACTAGGTGGGGGCTAGATTCTTGTCTGCTGCCTAGTTACACAGCTTCACATTTCAGCACCCTTGTTCCCCAGCCAGCCCCAATGCCACCCAGAGCCTGGGTCTGAGCAGACCTGGCATAAACTGCTCTGCCTCAGCTCAAGTTACTGCTGTCCTGGGCACACATGTAACTGCTGTACCTGGGAGTAGTTTATTCTAGCTCAAACTGCTCTGGAGTTTGTTTCAAATTAATTTAATGTGTAGATACATCCATTATGCTGTAGTGATGTATGCTAGAATATTTGCCTAGGCTTTCCTCGGATGCAGAATAACTTGCATTTAGGAAATATGAAAGATGTGTATACAGCAATGCAGTTATAATGGTAGAAAGCTGTTGAGGGAACACCAAGAAACCAGGATACATTTAACCAGTTAATTACTGCATTAGTTCACTTGAATTAGCCCTGTCAAAAGAAGAAAAATTAGTTCACTTGAATTAGCCCTGTTAAAAGAAGAAAAATTAGTTCACTTGAAGAAGCCCCGTTAAAATGAAGGTTAACCATTTGAAGCTCTGTTAGCTGACTTTGAAGTTTTTACACTACAACAACTGGCTCAGCTAACAGTGCTTCAGTCACGTTAAATTACCTGAGTTGAGTTAATATTAATGAAAAGCACATTTTTCTTGTTGAGGCTTGTCCCTAAAGGAACTCTCTCCCTGACAGTTTACAAAACCAAAGATAAAAGTTGAGTTGTGAGCAGGATGTTGTACAAGTTATGGGCTTACTTCTTACATGTGTGTAGGCCCTTAGCTTCCTGTGATATCAGTGGGAATTAGGCATATAAAATACCTTTTTAAAAAGTAATCTAAGCCTATGTTAAGCTATATTGAAATAAGTTTGAATTAATCTATTTGTTTTTTCTCAGATCCAGGATGCTCCATCTTTACTGTGTGAAGTCAATACTAAAGCGAGGCTTACATGTCTGGCAGTATGGTTGGACACAGCTTCAGAAACTAAAGAAAACTCTGACAAAGCTGAAACCTCATCCTGTGGTAACCGAAATTATACTATTCATAATCTTATTTAGTTTTCACTGGTGAGGAAGTCGAGCATACCAGAGAGGGTAAATTAGATTCTTCTCTTTCTTTTGCAACAGTTAACAGGATTTGTTTACCAAATTCCAATTAGTTGTGACTGTTTAAAGCAATTGAAAGGAGCAAACATTGGCCTGCAGTATGTTTATCACTATGATGATGCAGTGGGCACAAAAGAGGTTTGCATGCTTGTCGAATCCTAGTTTGGCAGCTAGAGACAAAGTGTTGCTTGTAAACTGGGTAGAGTTGACAGAGACCATTAAATAACTCCTACGATGGCATTTGCAGAAATCACCTTTCAAAATAGAAGTAGACATTTAAATGTATTTCTTTAAAGTATTTTCATCTTACAATATAACACCTTTTTAAGGGTACAGTAACATCCTTACAGACTTAATTTCTGAAATATTCCAAGCTGAGCAACATCTTAGTTCTCTATATCCTACTGTAATCATTTTAAACTAAGACTCATTGGAGTGACATTTATGTAAAGTAAAATGCTCAGGCTCTGAGAATACTGCTCTTAACTGGAGGGATGTTAAGGATGGCTGTCTAACAGGTCACAAGCTTGTCAGTTGTGTGCATATCTTACGTGCAGACAGATCTTTATAGCTAAGGATTGGCCTAGCTTAGAAAATATGGCCCAGTATATTTTCATTCTATTCTTATGTGTGATCATCTGTTTAAGTATGTTAGTTTGCTCTTCAAAAGTGTGAACACTACATGAAAAATGAGCATTTGGCCCACTCCTCATCTCCCCCCAAAATTGAAGACTGTATTTCCTTGCATACCATATGCCCCCAGGTAAGACATGCATCTTGTTCTAGAAAGGCAGAATTAAGAGAAAAAGATGTTTCTAGAATCTTATCTGCCACAGCATGGGCTTACCATGACTGGTTACTAGCCACATGCAAAAGGAACTTGTCACTTACCTTCTTCTTGCAGCTTCACAACTAAAAGTTTATTTAACCCTGACATGGGCACTGCTGAATTGGCATGGCCAAAAATTGCTGGCACTAAGGCAGTGGCTCTAACAAGGTTAAACCTTTAGCTGTGGAGCTGCAAGGAAGGGGTGAGTGATTCCTGAGGAATGAACTCTATTCTTCCTGCATATGACTGGGAAGGGAGCACAACTCCAGCAGCCATTCCAGGATTCCCATGCATCCCTCCTAGTATGAAATCAGCTTCCTTGCCTAAAACTCACCTTTTTCTAAAAACTACCTGTCCAAAATTGGGGTCCATGTGTGGTATGCAAGTAAGTATAGTATGCAGCTCATGCAGTTTCAGTTTATGTCAAAATGGGGTGATATAAATATGCACATTGTGCTAACAGACACAATGGAGATTCAATATGTTGACTGTACAAATAATCCTATATGAATACTTTTCTGTTTGTTTTAGCAAATGAAGATGAGCAGCCATTGATTACCAGGAAAAGGAAAGTTTGTTGGACTGATACTTCTGATAAATCAACAAAAGTAGAAAAGCATGTGATGCCCAAGAAACAAAAATTGGGAGGTGCACAGCAAAAGAAGAAAAAAAATCTGCAGAGCCGAACATGAGTGTATATTTCCCACTCACATAATAAGCAGATATTAGTAAATTTGCTACCACTCTTTTTCTTGTTATACCTCTTACTTCTGCTAATGATATTTTTCCTTCCCAAGGTATAAAACTCTCTTTGTTTTCAGAAGTGGTGATTTTTTTTTTTTCTTCTAAACTGATAAATACTGAACTGTTTTGGAAGATGGCGAAACAGATGGTACCAGCTTCTCTTGAACCCTATCATGGTGAAATGAATACATAATATAAAATATTTCATTTATATTTTCATATATACCAAATATAACATGAATTATCTCTTTGAATGGGTCTTAAAATTCAGTTGAAAACTACAGGGATTTCTGTAGCTCTGGATTGGTATGTTTTTTGTCTTTAACTGTGAAACCAAAACACCAAAACCCAGTTTAAATTAAATATACATTAAAAATACCTGCAGTTGACTGTTTTCACACCCATAAGAAAACAATAGATTTTTCTTACTCCATATATTTTCTCCCTTCATTGCCAATTAGTTTAAGGCAATCCTACTATGCTATCCTTTATGTTTGAAAACTGTGACTGCCATAAAAGCCCTTCTTCATACATGAGTGGAAAGAAACTTGAGATAGTACACCTATGTTCAGTAGTGAGTCTGTACCAGTTGTTCTCTGTGTGTAACTACTATATTGGTCATTCTTGGGACTCAGGTAGAAGAAGGCCTGTTTTTTGTGTCCCAGTCAGGCTTAGGAGGGAGATGAGCACTGAGCTGCTCACGTTGAACTGCACACCACCATTTAATTGAAAAAGCAGTGGCAAGCTAGTTTTAAGCAGCTGTGTGGATAAAAGTTTAATTCTTTGATATTTTTAGCACCACTCTGGGGATATAATTTATCTTGGTGCACAAGGCTTTGACAACAAAATATCAGTGCAAAACACTTTCTTCTCAAAACACATTCCTTCTGCTAGTGTGCCATAATTGGTGTTGGAAGGGGGCTCTGTTCTAATTCATGCTGTTATGAACATTATTAAGGGTTGAAAACTCCTTTATATACAGGCTTTCTGGTAAACGGTAGACATAACAATTGCAAACAGTGCTAATCAAGACTATCTTAAATGTAGAGATCTGATACAAACTGAGTTAGAGTGATATAGTACTGTTTACTAGACATGAGCCCAGGAATCAGTTTATCATCGGCATCTGCATTTTCCTGTGAGTTTGTCAGTGGGGTTTGAAACTGGCATTTCTGCTTAAGCCCACTTTTAGTTTTCACCTCTAACTAGAGGGGTATATACATTATTTTCTGCTAACAGCAGCCTCAAAATTGTGAATGTTACTGATGCAATATCCATAAGATTGGCCTTCAGCCATACTGGCAGCTATCCTAGGTCAGTCTGAAATGCATCTCCTATTATTAAGTTATAACTGTCTCAGAAATATTTTTCATATTTGCTTTAGGTTGAAGCCCAATATTATTGAGTTGTGTATGCACCAGGTTCCTTTTGGGTATTTTTAACGTGTGTGACATGGTAATGACAAACTCGGGCCCTGAGGAACAGATAAAAAAAAGTGTGTTTTTTAGATGGTAAACATTTTAGCTGACACATTTGCCTTGCAGGGTAAACTAATAGAACGTTTCTGTGGACATATGTATTTATTTGATAAGGTCTAGGTTAGCTCCATAGTAAAATATTTGTTGATATCATGCTTGACAAATCCAGCAGGCTGGCTGCTGATAACACAGACACTCTCCGAAAGATCAAAAACTCTTGACAAAATGGTCTTGTCACAACCCAAAGGGTGTGATTTTTGTTTTTGTGTGCTTTGGCACTGCTAAATTGTTCCCGCTAAATTATAGCTTCCTTGCACGGTGGAGTTTTCTGCTGCAAAAGAGAACCCCGGTGCAAGGGAGAATTTCCCGCCAATTTGAAGCTTTCTTTGCAGGGTGCATTTCTTTGTTGCAGCACAGAAGTGCTCGTTGCAAAGAGTTCCTGCCATTTGTATGCTAATTTGAGTCCCGTTATTGGCCAGTTCTAAATTATTCGCGCGTGGCGGCTAGCGATTGGCTTGCTAGCCGTATAAAAGGCTTGAGTGGTTTCCGCCCAAGTTGGAGGACTCCACGAACACCAGGAGGAGGAGATTTCACGCTGTGTGAAGATCTCTAAGCGCTGTGGATCCTTATAGACCCAGCGCATTTCAAGCAGGCAACGGAGGTGTGATCAACCTCTAGCCTCTCCCCGTCGTCGATCGCAGCCTAGATGTATCCCTTCCTGCGCGCAAAAGAACCGGACCCACGGAGCCTAGCAAACTTCGTGTGAGTCCTTGCCAGACGACTGACCTCAGAGCTCTTCTACCCGGGTTCGAGTCCTGCAGGTTTATCTTCCCGTCGCCGAAAACCCCTTGCGACGTACCCTCGTGTTTTGCATCTTCCCGTCGCCGAAAACCCCTTGCGACGTACCCTCGTGCCCTGCAGGTTGGAGTTTTGTTTTGTTGTCTGTCTGTAACTGCAACTCAAGCAAGGTTTCCAGCCTACACCACTGCCATCTCAGTGTAAGTAAACAATCTTTTAAACTACTGCTAAGCGTTTGTGCCTAATTCCAGCTCGACACCTTTCCTCTCCGACCCGGCATGCCCGGGCTGCTGGCCACAGCCCACGTGCAGCACGGAAAAGGGCTCAGGTCGCTCCCGGCCTGCACAGGTCTTAAAGCAAAATTGCAGTCATGGCTGCTGGGATCGGTTTGTAGCTTAGCTACTGCAGTCTTCCTTAAAGGAAAATGTTCACCCAACCAAAAAGACATTCTGCTCCACTTTCTTTGATGTGGAACCAGGTTGCTCTTTCTTGCAGGCACAGGGAAAGGGGGAGACTGTTGTGAAGAATTCATCCTCATAAAGAGGATGAAGATCAATTTCTCCACTGTCAGCAGGTTTTCACCTTAGGTGGGGCCCTGGGCTGTGTGGATGCTAGATAAGGTCCTTTGTGTCCTTTGCTCTGGGCTTGCGCTCTAGCTGTCCTCTGAGGCAGTTCTTCTACCATGGCACAGCCATCATAGACCTGCCCTCCTAGGAGTGAGCTATGGTAGGACACAGCCTTCAAGATGAGACTTGTTAAGGAGGGGAGCTCAGAGCAGATAAAAGAAAGAACCCTGCCTAGAAGGGGGAAATGTGCATCAAACTATATACACAGTAGTTTGAAATGAACAAGAAAGAGTTTGTTTGCCCTCTGAGCTTCCATTTCTGGGAATGTGTCATTTGCAACAAGAGCCAGGAAGTCCATTTCAGCTAGAAACAGCTGAACTTGAAGGAACCACCCTGCACCCCGCTGACCTTGAAAGGGGGGCTCTCCCCTCATCTCTGCACAGGCACCCACCCTTTTGCCCACACCCTCTTGGCTTGCACTACGCAGCCCAACACTGGCGTTATGTTCAAGGGTCTGAATCCACAGGGGTGTGCACCTAAAACTCCCAAGCAGTGGCTGTGGGTGGGATCAGCTGCAGAAACAATGGGGGATAGTTTCAAAAAAGAGGACGGGTGGGGGCGGAGGGGAATGCCCCCCCGCCAGCCCTGCCGGTGCTCAGCTCCTGCCCCTCCCATCTGCTCCGGCCCCCTGGCCCCGCCCGCGGGGCGGGCTCGGGCCTGCAGCAGGCGCCGCGAGTGCAGGTCAGTGCGGGCGGGGGCCGGGCTGCTCCGCGATCTCCGCGCAGCGATGCGGGGGCTGGGGCAGAGCGCGGAGCGGGGCGAGACCGGGAGGTGGGGTCAACATCTGGATTGGATCGGGTCTGGGTCGGGTCAGGTCAGGAGGGTGGGAGGAGAGTAAGGGAAGTGGGGTTTACATCTGGATCGGATAGGGTCTGGGTCTGGACCGGGTCGGGAGGGGGGAGTAAGGGAGGTGGGGTCTAGAACTGGGTCTGAATCCAGATCTGGAGAGGAGAGGAAGGTGGGGTCTGGATCTGGAACCGGGTCTAGGTCTGGGTCTGGACCCGGAGGGGAGTAAGGGAAATGGGGTCTAGATCTGGGTCTGAGACTGGAATGGGGTCATGGGGGTGAGAGGGAGGTGGGGTCTAGATCTGAATTGGATTGGATCTGGTCTGGGTCTGGACCTTCATCTGGGTCTGGGTTCAGATTTGGGAGGTGGGGTCTGAACCTAGATCTGGATCTAGTTCTGGGGCTGGGGCTGACTACATCCAGCCCAATCTCTGCCTTGACTGTGAAGCCAGGGGCTGGAGCAGCCACAGAGCCAACAGAGGTGGCTGCATTTCACACTGTCATCAGGGCTGGTGTTTAGTGGGGAACCAGCCCCAGGGGCTTCTGTTGAGTCTGGCTGCCTTAGAGCAGAGATTCTCCTCCAGGGCTGCCTCGGGATCCTTTCAGGCAAGGTTAGCCCTGGGAGGTGCGCTGCCAGGATGCACAGGATAAACCTGGAGGAGATCCATGGTGTAAAAGCCATTCTGCTGTGCTGCGGCCTTTCTGAGTTCTTTGCAGCAGATGAATTACTCTGTTCTTTTTGTGCACTGAAAAAATTCAGTGAGAACTAAGAGTGTACTTTGAGGTGGTGGTGGGAGCTTGAATTAACCTCTAAAAGGGTTGAGAACCACTGCCTTAGACACTGCCCCTCCCTCAGCACGTCGGTTCTTTCCAGAGCTTTAGACCTAATTTTCCTCCAATGTTTTAAAAATCCTTCCTAATGTTTTAGGCTTTACCATACTGGATACAGCCCAGGGCTGTTTCAGTTTTGGTGAGATCATGGATCAGCTTTTATGGGATTATGGGATTTCTTGGGATTTTATGTTTGTGAGGTTCATTTGTTCCTGTTTTGCCAATGTTTGATCATGGGTGGATTGGAAGAGAAGTATAAGGAAGCTCATATTGCAATTTCCCATTCTGGGGAGTGCCCCTCTTGAAAGCATAGAAGCGGAAAGGGATCTTGGAGTCATTATTGACCGCAGCCAGCCAGGCCAGCCATACCTTGTCATGCATCCAAAGGTGCATCTCAGGCTGGTCCAGAGAGGTGATACTCCTCCTCTATGCAACTTTGGTCAGGCTGCAGTTGGAGTATTGCGTCAAGTACTGGGCGCCGCACTTCAAAAGGGACATGGCCAGCCTGGAGAGGGTTCAGAACAGGGCCACCCGCTTGGTGAGAGGGCAACAGGACAGGCCCTATGAGGAGAGACTGGGGGACCTGAACCTGTTCAGCCTCAGCAAGAGGAGGCTGAGGGGGGACCTGGTGGCTGCCTACAAACTCATCAGGGGGGATCAATAGCAAATAGGTAGAGTCCTTTTCTCCCCACCACCACCTGGGGTGATGAGAGATAATGGTAATAAGCTGATGGAGAATAGGTTTAAGTTAGAGATCAGAAGGCAATATTTTACAGTTACGGTGGCCAAAATCTGGAACCAGCTTCCCAGGGAAGTGGTCCTCACCCCTACCTTGGGCAAATTCAAGAGGAGGTTGGATGATCACCTGTCTGGGGTCTTGTGAACCCAGCATTCATTCCTGCCTGTGGCAGGGGGTCAGGCTAGATGATCTGTTCAGGTCCCTCCTGACCCTAGCTACTATGAAACTATAAAAAAAGAAGTGTCAGGGATTTCATCTACAAGTTTAATTCATTGGTTCCTTCATAAGCAATCAAGTCCATTTTAAAAGAAAACTGGCTGGGTGGAGGAGGAGAGGAAATTAAAACAGTAAATAAGTGTTGATGTCCTCTTTGTACTCCAGAATGGCTTGGGACTGGATTGGCTTTGGCTATGCAGCACTGGTTGCATCAGGAGGAATAACTGGTTATATTAAAGCAGGTACGGTATTGGTAAACCTTTACATTTTCTGATACATAATTGTTTAAAATGTTATATGATATCTCCTATGTAAAAGTAAAGGAGTGAGTTTTCTGTACAGCAATTATCTCTAACTTTGTGCTGTTGTTAAGTTTGACAGTTAGTGCTGTATGCTGATAACTCTCTGTAGTTTTGGGTGTGGGGGGCACTGTTTTATTTGAGTTCCTGTTTTTGAATGATAAATTCCCTATCAGGCACCTACTCCTTACCAATATTTGGCTTTATGCTTTTTTATTCTTTGAGTGACTCCATGTAAGCGTGCTTCAGAGAGGCTTTAGTGCTGCTGTCTTGAACATCAATGACCTATACAATTGTATATTACCAAATAATATATAAGACAAAATTTTCAATGCTTTTTTCCTTAAGACAGTAATTATTTTTATTTTTCATAAATCATACTAGCTCCATCTTACACACCACACTTAATTCTCTTATCACGTCAGAAAATGGTACATTTAAGCTGGTAACTGCTGCTGCTCAGAGAGCTGATTTTTCAAGGTTAACTTTTCTGTAGGAAGTCCAACCTGCATTATGTTTGCGCTAGCTCTGAATTACTCTGCCATGTTGCTTTGCTAGACTCGACTGAACATGGTGAGGCTTGGAACCGTATTCTCTCATTTGTTGTTCCATTTCCTGAGTTTGTCTCCTTCATGCAGATACGTAAATCTTCAGTTTGAAAGTGCTTGTAGGGAGGCCCTTGCTTTATCTTGGGATCCTCGTGAGTTCTTTAGGACAGGTTGGTGTCTAATGAGGTCTTGAGCTATATGCTGTTCCCTGAGGACCTCTTGGAATCGGCAGGAGTTGTGCCCATAAATGTGATTAAATTGGAATTTAGGAGAGCTTACTAGTGTGTTTTCTGCTGACTTACTTTGTCCTTTGCACTGTGAGTGGGGATATGTGGTGAGGAGGGCATTACAAAATAATAAGCATTGTTATCCTCCCGTCGCTGCTGGCACAACTGAGACAGAGTTGCCCAAGGTCATGTGTCAGGTCAGTAGCAGAGTCAGGAATAGAACCCACATGTTCTGACTCCCAGTCCTAAGCTTTTTGAAAGGAATAGTAAAAGTGAATAAGGTAACTCAGAGAAAAAAAGGAGGGTGTTGTGTCCCCGCTAATAACTAAGACTAGCCTGTGACAATAAGAATATTAGATAAGCATGCTAGAAATGGAAGAATGGTAGCTAAGTGCATGGCTCTGTCTTTGGGTATAATTTACTTGACTTTTCTGTATCATCATCTGTATTTTAAATATACAGCTGCAGATATTGAACCAGTCAGGTCATAGTATTCACAGACCGTTCCAATATCCCGGCAAAAAAGGAGATGCCTATTATTCACTCAATCTGGCAATAGTAAGGCCTCACCTGAAGTGTTGTTTTGGCCCCACACTTCAAAAAAGATGTGGCCAGATTGGAAAGAGTCCAATAGAAAGTGACAAAAATGATTAGAGTCCTAGGAAGCATGATTTATAAGGAAAGGTTAAAAGAATGGTGATTATTTAGTCTGGAGAAAAGAAGACTGGAGAGGAATTTGATTAGTCTTAAAGTAACTGAAAGCCAAAGATAGTGATAGATTATTCTCTGTGGCTGTAGGAGACAGGGCAAGAAATAACTGTCTTAAACTGGAACAAGGGAAATTTAGGTTGGATATTAGGAGAAACTTTTAAATTTGTGAGTGGTGAAGCATTAAAACATTACCTAGAGAAGCTGTGGAATTTGCATTCTTGGAAAGTCTTAAGAGCCATATAGACAAACACTTGTCTAGCAAGGCTTAGACAGGGATGGTCCTGCCCTGAGCTGGGAGTTGGATCGGATGATCCTGAGTGCCATTCCAGCCTGATTTATCTATGATTCTATATCTCAGTCACCACAGCTCACCCCCTCAATACACATATCCAGCATCATCCCTCCCCATTATTTCCCTTGTTTATCCCTCCTGCCAGATCGGAACCAGTTTGTAGCTGAGCTATTGATACTTTTCCCAATGGAGCTTTCAGAGTCTGTGAATCCTGCTAAGCATCTACCTCTACAACCAAATATATGCCAAGTCAAGTGAGTTAGTGGCACATAAAAGGGCCCCCACTGAGCTGGCACTGATAATAAAATACCTAGTCAGAGTTACAGACCAGGCCAGAGCATGTGGCTAGTGCAGGGTACAAGCAGAATTGACACTGATTTGGTTTCGTGTAGCACTAAGTGCTTATCATCCTGGTAAACTTGGAGTGCTGATGTTTGCCAACTGCTCTGGCAATTTCCAGTCTAAAGGTGACCTGCAAATAGAAAAGACAAAGTACTGCCCCCAGCAGCAACAGGTGCTGAATGCAGCCTTTGCCTGGCTCCTGGAGACATCATGCACTTAACATAGGTGGAGGCATTTTGTCAATCCCATGTACATGGCAGTCATTTGTGAATCCCTGAGGACAAGACTGGAAACAGCAGCCTGCCCCCACCTCCTTTGACAATCAGGAGCTGTGCTTTTCACTAAAGACTTGATCCAAAGCTCCAGTAATCACTTTCCAACATCTCCAGTGGGCTCTGAATCAGGTCTTGCGTGTGTTTAACCTTTTATAATTTATTTTTATCATCAATGCCTCAGAGCCCTTCTCTATTAAGCCATTCCATTGTCTAACTGCTCTTGCTGTCTAGTTTAGTTTAAATTTCATTTTTTTGAGCCTAAAGCCACTACTGTTTGATTGATCCCCATCTTTTATGGTACTGCCTCTCTGGGAAGTGTGGTAACATTGAACTGAAAAAAAACCCCAAATTTCCTTTATTTATCATGGGTCTCAACTTTGATCCCTTTACTTTTCTAGTTATACATCGTGTCGTTGTAAGGCAACCAATGCTTTATTTGCACATTAAAGGACAAAAGACAGTAATATTGTCTGCAGGATTATTTAAGCATGGTGCTTTGTTAGGTATGAATGATGGCTATGTTTGTAAAATTCAGGCTGTCTAAGTATTAAGATCCTTTGATTTAACCCGGGTGTCAAAGATGTGGCTTGCAGGCCAGATATGGCCTATGGAACCATTTCACCTGGACCACAGGGTTCCTAATGGGGCCAGGGGATGAGGTGGTGAACTGTGGCTGAGGCTCGGCTTCATTAAGCCTGGTGCTGAAGCTGGCAGGTCCAGATTTAGCCCAGGGGCCCAGGTGAGTGTTGAAATCCCTGATCTAAACTGTAGTCTGACTCAGAAGAGTGAATAATGATTTTTTTGTTTGACTGCTTTATGAACCATATTCATGTCTGCTCTTCTAATAATGCCCTTTGTTTTATTCAAGGTAGTGTCCCATCACTAGCTGCTGGTCTTCTCTTTGGCAGTTTAGCTGGACTAGGCGCTTACCAGCTGTCTCAGGATCCAAAGAATGTGTGGCTTTCCCTGGGTAAGTCTCCATTTAAATATATCTGCAAAACATAGACTAATGGTTTATTAGATTTAAAACATCTATTATATGGTGCAGCAGTAGCTGCACCACAGTCAGATTATATTACCAAGTTCAGTTTTAGCAGGAGCTTCAGATCTTTTAGTTAAAAAAGGACAGTTTTCTTGACTTTTATGTGATAGAAACAGGTTTCATATTGTAATCAGTGCTATTAATTATAGCTCCTTTTCTGCTAGCTCTGAATTAATGTCCCTCACATGTCCCCTCACCTGCTAACCTGGGTTCTTTTTATCTTTTACTTAGTTGCATCTGGAACATTGACTGCAGTTATGGGAATAAGATTTTTCAACTCTGGAAAATTCATGCCTGCAGGATTAATTGCTGGTGCCAGGTACTACACATGATGCTGTTTCTGATCCCACCCCATCTGCTTGACTCAGTCTTCTTTAATTAAACTGAGACTACATTTTCTAAGAGTCTAAATGAACAAGAAAATAGGAAAGTTTAATCTTGGTTTAAACAAATTATTTCAGTTTGCTACTTTCTGGAGGAAAGTACATACATTTGTTTTGTGTTTTTATTTTATTTCTTTAATTCAGTGAATTTACTCTATTTTCCTTTAAACAGTCTGTTAATGGTTGGGAGACTTGGTCTGAAGATGATGGAAAAGCCACACGATGAATAACTGTGCATATGATGTCACCTGATATGTGTACAGAAAGTGTGAAAGCGCAGCTGCCTGAAGATGCTACACAAAATGAACAGAGAATATGCAACCATTTCTAATATCAAATAATAATGTGATTTTTTTGAATTACTTTTTTTTGTACTAAGAAAATTGATTGGAGGGATTTTTTATATACAAAATGTCATTTATATCGAGTCAGTCAGTAATCTCTATTGCATGCTAAGAAATTGAGTTAGTGTTAATTTAATTTTGCTGATACGTTTTGCAATGTAACCCTCCCACTTTGTTTGTCACTCAGAAAATGTATTGCAACATTTTAGAAGGAAGGGAAACTTGGAGCCAATGCAATCATAAAGAAAATACCCACATTAGGCCAGAAGGAGTACTTGCCCAAATACAACACAGTCCATATGTATGTCTTCTTTCATAATGAGTACCCAAACCATGGATAAGGATGTGTCTGTATAACACGCTAATATTTTTCTTCAACTTGTATTGCAAAATTATGTTAAGCAAAATGACATTTAAGGAGACTGATTTTATTATTATTATTTTTGTACTAGGAAAAACAGGATTAGTATTGCAAAACTCTTTCTGATTGGGTAATATTGTGTCTGTTTTGTCTGTTTTCTTTCTTGTGTCTTTCCAATGCATAGCTATCCACATGCAGTCCTTGATCACATGTAAAAGACTCACCTCTTTAAGTGGAGGAGGAGATGGAATGAAGTATGTGTACTCTGTTAACACTGCATTAAAGCCTCTGTAAGAGGATGCCTCTATAGTAGATTATTTAAATAAGCTGTGCTTCGGTTCATGAACCATTAAAATGAGTCTAAAATATAGTCATTTGAATATTCATTCCTAATTAGAATTTAAATTGTGTAGATCTGGTTTTAAAGGCATAATTGGGATTAGAATCTACAGGCATTTATAGCATCTCCGCAACTAACAGATAAACATTCTGCCTATGCTAGGAAATCTTAGGAAAGCAGCACTGGACAATAACACTACTGCTACTAATGTTCTCCCATGACGGTGAAAGGAGCAGGCTGTCAATGATCAGCTGGCAGCTGCTGAAAAGTAGCAGCTTCCAAGGACAGCTCCCCTGCCCTGCAGGGGTGGCAGGGATAAGAATTGCTGTCCTTACCCCTTCCAAACCCCCAGGCATTCTCCCCACTCCTTCCACAATCCTGGACCCATGCAAGAGGTGGGGGGAAGATGTCCTAGGTTTTCTCGGGCTGATTCAAGCTGTGAGGAAATGCCTTCTCTTCTTGGACAGTCCCAGGGAGACCTAGAAGGGATTGGGGAGCAACACAGCCACTGTTTGGACCATTCTGGGGCTCTCTGGGTGGTTCAAGTGGCAGGAAGTCTTGCTGCCCTTTTATCAGAGAGCCTTAGTGCTGTTTGAAGGGTAGAAATCAGTGCTAAGGCTTGAACAGTTTTGGCACTGTTGAACCACCTGGCAGCACGGTCCCTGCAGAGCTCCCTGACAGTTTGCCATTTGGTAGGCTATTGGGGCAAGCAGAGGACTATGAGACAGTGGAGTTCCTTGTGGCCCCCAAAATAGTGTACATTCATTATAAGTGGCACCAAAAAACTTTCTGGGAAATATGTTGGTGGGAAGGCCTGACTTTTTTTTGTGGAAGAGCTGGTTTTCTTCCATGGAAAAAACTCTTTTAAACACTTGTACACTAGCTTTTTGTGCAAGGAAAAAAGACTTTTCCTGGCACAGATAAAATGCCTGTCCCTGACCCTGGACTACTGCCATATCAATTTAAACCTTTGCTTCTGTTTACTGCTACTTGTACAATTGATACCATGTTGGCTCTGCAGGATCATGTCTAAGGGGGAAAAAAAAACAATTTCAAATACATAAATTGTTATTATAAAGAAGAAACTTTCACAAATTATTTTCCATGGCCACTGGGGATATCTGGTTCAATACTATCCCTGTATAGCATCCACTTCTGATACTGTTTGAGACCAAGATACAGGGATAGATGGACCATTGGTCTGACCCAGTATGGTACTTATGTTTTTATGCTCTGGAACAGATTACCTAGGGTGGCTCAGTTGCCTCCATCACTGGAAATTTTTACAAGCAACAGGCTGGACAAACATCTCTCAGGCATGCTTTAGATATAATGAACCTGTCTGTGTGTGGGGGGGAGGGACAAGCTGATGTCTAGAGGCTCCTTCTAGCCCTGTCATTTGAGGATTCCAATGGAAAAAGGAAAGGAGTATATAAGGAAAAACAATCATAAATTGAAGATTAATTAGAATGTTCTATAACATTTTTTTTTAGTAATATGCTAGAACTGTATAGACTAGTATGACCTTTGCTCATACTCTACAGTGATATTTAACTACTATTCAGTTTTTGTATATCAAAACACTTTTGGGGAGGCAGTTGTGTGCCCCTTAGGCCCCTGGCAGACATTCAGTTATGGGCGCAATGGGTTCTGATCTGCTATCCCAACAATTGCGCCTTCTACAATGTTACAGGAACTGTAACTGGGATTGGGGATCGGATTCTAATTGCACCATATTGCCAGTGCAGTAGGATCCTGGGATCACGATCCTGGTCAAGTATCAAGCCAGTCAGCTGATCAAGGCTCCCAGCCTCTGGAGCACAATATAATCAAGGACCCCAATGTGTCCCCAGGGCTGGGAGCCTCAATCAGCTGACTGCTGCTCAACCTCAGAGGTGCATCAAAGCCAAGGCTCTGGTAGGCCCCCTAGGCTGGGAGCAGCACTCAGCTAATCAGTGCTCCTAGCCTTGAGAGCCATTGGAGTCAAAGGCTCCAACGTGCTCCTCATGCTGAAAACCTCGATTGGCAGATCAGTTGATGAGCCTGGCTGCACATTAAGTTTAAGTCATGATGGGAACTACCCACAGTTACTACATATATTTTATGTAATAAGGATGGCTGCTTACAGATGTAAAAAAAACCCCCTCATGCTTTAGTTTAAACTTGGCACATCCCTGCACCAAGCCCAGCGCATGTCCAGAAGAAGCATTGCATTAGTTGGACTCGGCTTGCCCAACGTCTGTATAGATTGGGTGCTTCAGCAGGGCGTTTTTGGCACTTTTATCTAATACAAAGGTGGGCAATTATTTTGGCTGCTTACTGAGTCTTGGCAAGCCATTGAGGGCTGCATGGTAGGTAACCAGGGGCAGATAAATATTAATTTTCTAAATTTTTTAGGGGCCCCACAGGCCAGATAGAATGGCCTGGTAGGCCGCATCCGGCCCATGGGCCACGTTTTGCCCACCCCTGAAATAGCTGATTGAATTGGCTATTAGATACAAGTGCCAAAAAAAAGCCCTGCTGAAGCATGCAGTTTATACAGATGCTACGATGTCTGCCTCTTCTGGTAAAGCACTTTTTTTTTCATGTCTGTCAGCAGCCTTTTTTGTGGCTTACTCCCTGTTTTATCATGCCATTAATTGCATGCATGTGGGTGGGGTACTACTTACGGCAGGGGTGGGCAAAATATGGCCTGCAGGCTGGATCTGGCCCACTAGATTGTATCTGGCCTGTGGGCAGGCAGCTGTCAACTCATGGGCTACAGTGGCTGCATGGTGCCAGGTGGGCACATGGGGCTTTTTCTGCTGCATTGGGTGGGTGGGAGGGACTGCTTCTGCCCAGAGCTGACATGGCAGCATTAGGTGACCTTGGCAGATGCCCTAGCGTCAGCTGTGGACGTAACCAGCAGGTTCTGGGTTAGGGTGGGGAATGGGGCATGCTACAGCTGCAGGCAGGTTCCCAAGAGGGTGAGGGGGGAGAGAAAGAGAGAGAGGTAGCTCTTATGAGGACACCAAAAGTTATTAAGTGGCCTTCCACCCAAAGTAATTGCCCATCTCTGACTTAAGACATGACTAATTGGTTAACATCTGCCCAAGGGCCTGATTGAAACAAGCCCTAATAAATTACACAACCACCTAATTTGGGTAAATTGAGGTCCAGAACAGTAACTCATATTTTATGCACACTAATAAAATGTACACATAATACTTTCCTTTTTTTTTTTAATAATACTTGAAGCAGACAGTAACAACTGTATTCCTTGCAAGGACTGTATAAAGTACGGACTTCATAATCACTGCATTGAAGCTTTCACGTTACCCTTGTGGCGGGCCAGTAGGGGGCGCTCCTGCGTTGAGCCGCCCACCTCCCTGCTCCCGACCACCTTCCAGGCTCCGAGTGCCTCCCTTAGGGTGCCTCCCGTCCGGCCAACCCCTTCCCTGGAGCACACCCGCTAGCCTGGGGTTCCCGCTACCACCATCCAAGGCTCTGGACTCACTTCTGGCTCTGTGCACCTTGGAAAACACAGGCCTGATCGTCCAATGGGTGCTAGACCCAGTACAAGCACTTGGGGCACTTCCCCAAGTCAGGGGCTGATTAGGAAGCCTCCCTTAGTCCACCGACCTAAGGGGCCTCCTTGGCATAATTTAGACCCACCCCTCAATAAGTCTCCCACACCGGTCACAAAGGAGAACTTTATTGATTACAGGGGTAGGGCAGAAATAGGGTAAAAGGTAGAGCAATATCAAGAAATCTTATAGGAATATCAAAGGAATCCCATAGAGCAAACCAGGGTGGCTGAGGTAGCCGTTTCAACACGCATCTGAGTTACTGAAGCTCCGCATGGATAATGGCTGCCCTTCTTCCTGGCCCAGGCCTTTTTAAAACCTCCCTGACCTCAGCAGCCGGTCCAATCGAAGCTGCCAATACTGGCTACAAACCGTCCAATCTGCAAAGCATCCCTGGCTACCTGGGCCCGCGCGCAGGGCCGGGTCTTTCCCCCCACCTGCCCAGGTGACCAGAGCATCGCCTCCCAGGTGCCAGGCTTTTGTCTGCAGACAAGGAGCGAGATCCCCGCTGTGAGAGATTCAACAGCAGCCTCTCAGGCCGGCTGAGACAGGTCTCTGGAGAGGGGCACCGACGGGGCATTTCTGCCACAACCCTGTTCTGTGTTGCAAGCCAGAGTGATGTTTTCAGTTTACTGGTTGCTGCAAGAGCCTTTGAGCAGCCCATTAAAAACTTCCTCTTAGGAGAAGGAAATAGTCTGTTGAAAGATAAATCTATAGCTCTCAGGCCAAATTGCATAGCTGTGCAAGTTCCGTTAGTATCAGGTCTCTAAAAGCTGCTTACTTTTCTTTTCTATTGCATTCAGTTTTTGCAAGGCTTCAAATTAAATACTTAATTACACACACAAATCCTTTATTAGATTTGCTGCAGTACCTCCAGCAGTATGGTACTCACTCTGGCCATGCTAAAGCACAGATGCAACACTGATCTGGCTACAAGGCTACATATTGACCAACCAATTTATGAATAACCCCTACATTTTCCTAGAATTGCAATAAATTAAACCTTCTTTAACTCTTAGCAGAAATAATACCAGCTGTCACCTGGGCTTTGAAAGAAGACTGCTAAGAAGGAGAAGAAAAACTTCATCATTGGAAAAAAAAAACTTGCCTAAAATGAAATGGGAAATGGTTAAAAGATAATGCCTAGGGGCTGCCCTACTTTATTTCTTGCTCCAAGAATATAGCATGATTCTTTGTTTTTAATGCAGAGCTTCCTCCAAGCTATCAGTCTGCTAGAGGCTCTGAAAGTTCAATTTGCCATGGCCCAGTTCTGTCATTCATTGGGCCATGAGCTGTCATCTCCAGCCGAGGGTCAATCCATGCTGAATAAATATGGCCTGAGGTAATAAGCAGATACCATTTTGCTGTGCTGTAATTTCCTAGCTGGCTGGCATTATTCATTCCCTCAGATGGAATAATTTCATCACCTGGAAAAATGAGCAGGAGAAGCTTAAGGTAGTTATT